GCTTTCCTGATCCGAATGATATTTAGGGTTTAGATTCTCATGTTATTAGAAAATTCTCTCTAGATCTCTTTCTTAACTCTCTCTCTGAATTTTGTAACTTTAAACTCTGTTTTATTTTCCAGGTTCCATATCAACCTCTAAACTTGCGTCTAACCATAACTCCGGAACTCCTCGAGAGGATTACATCCGCCGTCGATCCAAAAGATCGGCAGAATTTAAGGACCCCACTAATCGGGTTTACGATGGCTCTAGCTTGTACACCATTGGGTACTGGCTCAGTATCATACATAAGGACAACCTGTGTAGGAGAAGAACAAGGCAAAGGTAGCATTCAGATAATGAATGGGTCAGCTTCGAAATGCTATGAGACAAAGCGCATTTATGGCTTACAGGGTCGCTCAAAGAATAATATGTCCGAGAAAGAACCCGAAAATCCCTTCTTTAGGGACTCCAAGCTTTGTTTATATGCTCGTGGCGATGGTGCAAGCGCAGGCTGTACAATGATCACTTCGATACTCTCACGTGCCATGAAGAAACCTGTGAGGATGAATCTTGCAATGACCGGAGGAATCACCATAATCGGTACAATTCTTCCAATCGGCGGCGTAAGAAACACACACACTACAATTACTCTGCTTTAAGCTTTTTGAATTAGCTCATAATAATACTTAAAATCTCTCACAGGTTAGAGAGAAGACTATAGCTGCCAAAAGAAGTCAAGTGAAGATGATAATATTTCCAGAGGCTAACCATGGAGAGTTTGAGGAGCTAGAAGAAAACGTGAAAGAAGGGCTCGATGCTCGCTTCGTCAGTGACTATAACCAGATCTTCGAGATAGCTTTTGGCTATGACCACTAGAAAAAGTCTGAGAAGTCTCTCCCTTGGGATCTTCCTATGTTGTTTTCACTATATATCACTGATACAGAAAACTCTTTAGGCTTATCTTCGTCGAACTTATATGCATATACATATTTTGTTTTTCCTTACCACAAAGATGATATGTAACCGGAGCCAGTGATTCTATTTGTTTAATGAAACTACAAGAATATTAATCAATGAGCCGTCCTCAAGCAACGCTTGGCGTTATGGTATACAGTATCTTATTGCATCTGTAGCTCCTAGCTTCCATCTTGTAACAAGACAGGTGATTATATTTGTTTGATGAAACTACAAGAGATGTCAACATCGTTGGATGAATCACAACTCATGAAACGTAAACCTGATGATTAGTGAATGGATCATAACATCATAACATTATTTCCATGATATAAAAACACGCATATATGTATATCGATTGAGATATGTTGCTAGACTCGCTAAATATCGCTGTTTAACTTCATATCTAAAAGAGGAAAAAAAAACATTTCAACATGTCTGTATATTTGCACTATATCATCATCATCATATATACCATAAATTGATAAACTATATACCTTTCTCGTTCGGACCTTACCCAGACTTCTTTCGAGCAGTATCAATTTCTTGAAGCTCTTCTCGAGAAGAAGAAGTCCTTGTCCCTATACCAACGCACCACCAATGACACGAAAAACTCCAATACACTTGAT